TTAAAATCCAAGTGACAGGGTACAGGCCATTGTCCCACAGCATTATTGGATCAGCTCTCTGATCCAGGAACTCTGGCCATATCACCAGAATGCCCACTTTGGGGCCTGTCTTAAGCAGTAGCAGCCCAGTCTTGCTGACTCGTAAGTTAACTATTACCCACTGTCCATGGGTAGGTGTAGGGAAATGTGTGATACAGTAGTGGTATTGCGATATCCTGACTGTCAGGAAGCCAGGATATACTTAGAGCCGCAATAGGACAGTTAGGAGACTGGAGCTGCAATGGGAGGAAAGGGGTCCTGACTATTGGGGAGCCAGGATACCTAAAGCTGGGGTGCAGTGGGAGATGGTCTCCCCACAGGATATAGAGATCCTGCTCTTCTCTTGGAAAGCCGCTACAGCTGAGTTCTGTTCTGCTCTCTTACTGGAGCGATCTAGCAGAGCTATCTGCTGCTTCTCTGACCCAAGATGTGTCTTCTGCTAAACAGAAGACCCTTGCAGAAATGGAGCTATCTCTTTCCGCTCCAGCCTTGCTGAGTGAGGCCCCCTAGCAAGCACCGCCACACGGTTTTTCAACTCAGTTCCCTAAGGGACGTCATAGCCAGGTTCTTCTCTGCACCAGCTAATGAATCATCACCCAAGACTCTTTTGAGAAAGACTTTTTTTGGGAAGGTAGAGTCCAGGAGAGTGGCTGCCTCTGCCACTTAATGGCAGCTCTTAACTGAACCAATAGACAGGCTTATATAGGGCTTCTTAGGGGGCGGAGTCTTCTCAGGGAGAAAGGGGATTGGTTATTTTTTTCCCAGTTTAGGGATTGGTCAGTTTAGCTGGTCAGGGGCAGAGATGACTCTGACTTCATGGCCTAACTGTTTCTTTCACTGGTGCTTTTCAGCTTTTTGACTCTAATCTTAGAACCAGGGCGTTTTTCTTTCACTGGCTCTAATTCTAGGGACAAAGTGTGTTTCTTTGACACTAGTTTCAGAGCCAGGACACGTGTCTTTAGTTCTGAGTTCAGGGATAAAGATGTTTCTCTCCCTGGCCCAGGTCCCAAATACAGGTTGTGTTTTTCTCGGGTTCAGAGTCAGGGTGTTCAATGATTGGTCGGTTTCCTGTTCCAATTGTCTTTCCCCTACAGTAGCTACCAGGGGTTCAGAGTCAGGCTGTTCAGTGATTGGTCGGTTTCCTGCTCCAATTGTCTTTCCCCTACAGTAGCTACTAGGGGTTCTTCTAGTTGTTTTTGTTGGGGCAGAATCTTATTCTGTAGCCCAGGCTAGCTTAGATGTGTCTGTGTTACTCAGATGACATGACAGTCCTGCCTCAGCCTTCCAAGGGCTGAGATTACACCTTCCAGTGGCTTACGCAGCTACCTCATGACCTAAATGAGTTTAGCAGACTCAGGTGACGTCAGATCTGCTCTGATCAGTATCCCACTTGGCATTTAATTTTTTTGTTGTTATTGTTTTCAAGACAGGGTTTCTCTATGTAGCACTGGAAACTGCTCTGTAGACCAAGCTGGTCTAGAACTCATAGAGATCCACTTTCATCTGCCTCCCAAGTGCTGGGACTAAAGGTGTGCACCCCCACCATCCAGCTGACATCTAATTCTTAATATGAAGGTTTGGGGGAGGGGGACTGGTGGTGGCAGTGGTATGTGTTTGCGCATGTGTGCACCCATGCGTGGTTATGCCGTGGTGTGTATGTGGAAGTCAGGACAACTCTGAGAAGTCAGTTTTCTCCTTCCACCATGAGTGCAGAAAGCACTTTTATCAGCTCAGCCATCTCTCCAGCCTTAAAGGATTTGGGTTTGTCATTTTCTTGTTAAAGAGGTTTGGTGGTCCATTCCTATACTTCTGGCCCAGGGGAAGCTGAGGCAGAATGGTCTTAAATTTAAGACCAGACAGTGCTTCATAGAATTTCATCTTGGTTGCTTATGCCTATAATGCCAGCCTGTGAGAAACTGAGACAGAAGGGTCTCTGAATTTAAGGCCAGCCTAGGCTGTATTTTGAGACCCTAACTATGACAAAGACCTTATGTAGTTCACAGATGCAATATTTTAGGTCTGCATTTCCTCTGCCCTTTGTAATATACCCTGTGGTTGTATCTGGGGGATCAGAGGAGTGACTGCCTTAAAGTCAGGTACATCAGCTTGTTCCTGGCAGGTCAGTTGAATACTGCTTGCACCCTTTCATTTAGCTAGGGATTCAGATTGGTTAATGGGATGAGTCAGGGTGGATCATTGAGGTCTGAGACGGATACCATACTCAAGGAATTAAGGATTTGAAGCTCTGCAGTAGGACCATGTTCTAGGGAGCACATTTTCAGAACAGAATATAGTTCCCTTCATGTTCTGTGAACTCAACCACAGAGAGACAATATTTCCAAAAAGGGGGCCTGTGTAACAGGAGGAGTGGGCTGCTTGTCGTTCCGGCCGCCCAACTATCTTACACCCAAAATAACCACACAGAAACTGTATTCATTTAAACACTGCCTGGCCCATTAGTTCTAACCTCTTATTGGCTAGGTCTTACATCTTAATTTAACCCATTTCTGTTAATCTGTGTATCACCATGAGGTCATGGCTTACCAGGAAAGATTCACCATTCTGATTCTGGCAACTCCATGGCGGTTCTCTGATTCTGCTTTCTTCCTCCCAGCATTCAGTTCTGTCTTCTCCGCCTACCTAAGTTCTGCCCTATCAGGCCAAGCAGTTTCTTTATTGATTAGCCAATGAAAGCAATACATAAACAGAAGGACCTCCTACACCAGGCCTGGTGAGATGTCTCACCAAATTTGATGACTTGAATTGGATCTCAGCACAGGTATGGTGCAAGGGTAAAACTGATTCCTATAGATGTTCTCTAACCTCTACATGATTGCCATACCATGCCCCCACTCCAGCCACACACACACAAAAATGTAATTTAAAGGTTAAAAATAGCTGGGTGGTGGTGGTACACGCCTTTAATCCCAGCATTAGAGGCAGGTGGATCTCTGAGTTTGAGGCCAGCCTGATCTATAAGAGCTAGTTCCAGGACAGCCACAGCTGTTACACAGAGAAACCCTGTCTCGAAAAACCAAAAAAAAAAGTAAAAATATCTGAAAGAGCTTCTGTCTGTACCCAATACATTCAGGCTTACTTTTTCCTAAACAGTACAGTGTGAGAACTACATTATGTTTACATTTTTTTTTTCCTCTGGGTAGCCCTGGCTGTCACTCTGGAATTCATTCTGTAGACCAGGCTGGCTTTAAACTCACAGAGATCCAACTGCCTCTGCGCCACCACTTTTTGTGTTTACATTTTATTAGGATACAAATAATCTAGAATATATAAAATTATATGCAAGTAACATGCAGGCATTATGCCATTTTGTATGAAGGACTTGACTGAGGGTCAACTCAGTAGTAAAGTGTTTGTCTCGCATGTGCTGGACCCTGGGTTCTGCCCTACCACAAAAAAAGTCAGTGGTTTAAACCTCAGCTTTGTGCTGAGTATCAGTGGGTGCTTTCATCAATCCCTCTTGGATATTAAGGAATAGCTACACAAATGCCCTTCTCTCTGCTCCATTCTTTCTCTAGGTTCACAGCAAGGCCACTGGTACAGACGATTTTTGAAGGGGGAAAAGCTACCTGCTTTGCCTACGGGCAGACTGGCAGTGGGAAGACTCACGTGAGTATTTCAGTCCTACAGAGGCAGAGAAAGCCTTGAGTAGTACAGCAGTAGGTTCTTGAGGAGTGGTCCAGATGCTCCTCACTAGCCACTTGCCCTGCCGGGTGAAGAGAGGGGTTCTAGCAGGTCCTATCTCCTGGCTCTGGCATGACCCGTGGTGGTGGCAGAGCCAGCTGTGTTCTGCTGTGCTGTGGTCATATGCTGCTGTTTTCTTCTGCAGACAATGGGTGGAGACTTGTCTGGTAAATCTCAGAATGCAACCAAAGGGATCTACGCAATGGCTTGTGAGTAAACTGTTCTCCACGTAGGGACTGGGCGTGGAAAGCTGTTTACTTACGCGGGCTCTTCCTCCCAGCCCGGGATGTCTTCCTCCTGAAGAGTCAGCCTCGCTACCGCAACTTAGGTCTGGAAGTTTATGTGACGTTCTTCGAGATCTACAATGGGAAGGTAAACTGACTGAAACCTCAAAGACGGCTAGAAGTGGTTGAAGGCAGACGTCTTGTTAACTGTAGCCTTTGGGCCTACTCTGCCTTGCATATGGCCCTTTCCTCTGAAGGCGAGGTGGCAGCCAAGCTCAATAAGGAGAGCAGATGTCCTCTGAGGTGGAAGGGTCTGCCCTGTGTGTGACCTCTTCCTCTGTGTCCTCCTTCCCCGTCCTGTGTATTCTCATGTCCATACCCTCCATCCTCTTTCTCTCCCTCTCATCTTCTACTCTCTGCACATTTGTAGAGCAAGACCTCAATAATAAAAATAGCTAATATCATTAATGGGATATTATGTGCTAAGCACTGGCTAGTCTTTTTCCTTCAGGAGAGGTTTCTCTATGTAGCCCTGGCTGTCCTGGAACTCACTTTGTAGACCAGACTGGCGTTGAACTCAGAGTCTACCTGCCTCTGCCTCCCCAGTGCTGGGATTAAAGGCGTGCGCCACCTTTGCCCGGCTGTTATTCAGTCTTTTTGTCCTGACTTTACAGGCTGGGAACAGTCTAGAGTAACTTGCTCAGGGTGGCACAGCTAGTTAAGTGACATTGATGTGAACCAGGGAAGCGGGGTCTGTCACCTGTCGGCACATGCTCTGCCTTTCCTGCTCCTGGCCCTGTTCAGCCTGGGGCAGGCTCTGTAGAAAGGAGTCAGCCAGGGTACCCAGCACCTATGGCCCTATGTTTATGCTCGCTGCCTGGCACAGGTGTTTGATCTGCTCAACAAGAAGGCCAAGTTACGTGTCCTGGAAGACAGCAAGCAGCAGGTGCAGGTTGTAGGACTGCAGGAATACCTGGTTAACTGTGCTGATGACGTCATCAAGATGATCAACATGGGCAGCGCCTGCAGGTCAGAGCTGTGGCGAGGGAAGGGAACCATTGTAATACCTAGTTCAGGTAATGAGGCCTCAGATCCACACATAGGCTTGACAGCGGGAGGAAGCCATTTCTTTTTCCACATAGTTCTCATCCCAGCGGGGTAAGTGCTGTGAGGGCCACTCACTACCTTAAGTGAGGCAGATCGTCCTAGGAACAACGTCAGAGCAACTTAAACCTATCAAAGGCAGGCTTGCCTGGGATCCTAGTTTCGTCTTGTGGGAGAAGTTAGCAGTCCTGAATCTGCTCTAGGCTGGAAGTAATGAGACCATGGTGCCTCTATGCAAATGTAGGGAGGTAATGAGACCATGGTGCCTCTATGCAAATGTAGGGAAGTGCTGGCATAGGACAGAGGGCTGCTGGGTAGTTGCAGGGCTCAGTTTTACCTCACATGCTGGGCAAGAGCTTCCTGTCTGTTCCATCTGCAGTTCGAGCCTTTGCGTTTGGTCCAGTGGTTTATGACGAGACCCTATCCTTGTAGCAGACTCAGCTCCTCCTTACCTTCATGAGCACCAGGTCTGGCAAATGCCCAAGCACAAAGAATCCAGTACTGATTTGGCTGCCTGAAAAATATTAGGTCAAGAGCTGCCGTCTTGGACGGCAAACTAGAGATTAGAGACAGAAAGACACAGGGCTTCTTAGGATCCTGATCCGTGTCCCTGCTTTACTGTAGATTTTACTGCTCTGCCCTGGGATGGTTAAACACTGGGGTTCCCTGGGGGATAGTGGTCCCTGAAGTTTATAACCTTTCTTTGCCTTTCCCCTCCTTTTAATAGGACTTCTGGACAAACATTTGCCAACTCCAATTCCTCCCGCTCCCATGCCTGCTTCCAGATTCTTCTTCGAGCCAAAGGGAGATTACATGGCAAATTCTCTTTGGTGGATCTGGCAGGGAATGAACGAGGGGCCGACACTTCCAGCGCTGACCGGCAGACTCGCATGGAGGGTGCAGAGATTAACAAGTCTCTCCTAGCTCTGAAGGTAGCAGGCATTTGCTAGTGGTGGCCTGGAATGGAGAGAGTAGGCTATGTGCGCAGTGGAAGAGGCTTCAGTTGTTTCTGCTGCCCCACAGGAGTGCATCAGGGCACTGGGACAGAACAAGGCTCACACCCCCTTCCGTGAGAGCAAGCTGACACAGGTGCTGAGGGACTCCTTCATTGGGGAGAACTCACGGACTTGCATGGTGAGTCAAACGACTGTGGGCGGTGAAGTAGATCCAGAGCTGCTTCCCAGGGAGACATTGACCTGATTCTGGGCAGGGAGCTTAGTACCTCTCTCTGCCCATGTTCTCAGGCTTCTGGCTAGACTTCCAGGGCCTACAACCTCCACCTTTCCTATAGACAAGGAGGAAAGAATCCACTCTAGGTGCTGAGGGCAGTCATTGCTCCTTTATCTGGTAAAAAGGGCTCTGGAATTCAGGAAGTGAACCTTAGTAGATGCAGGAGAAGTAAGTCCTCCCCTTTCCCACAGCTTCCCTCAGGTTCCCCGCTACGAATAGCCCCCTGTTCCAAGCTCCTAACGACGTCTGCCTTCCCTACTTTATCTCCAGGTGCTGCTAGGTGAAATCTGCACTGTCACGCTCCCCTCTGCCCTAGGAGCAGGGCCTTGCCCTGAAGGAGGACAGGTTTCTCTGTCTAAGCTCTGTTAGTGTTAGTGCCGCTGCTCCCTCGTCCCCTCTGACAGTGCAGAGGACTGAACCCAGAGTTCTTACCTTCTCTTGCCAAGTATTTTACCCCAGTCCCTAAACCCTTCTCTCTGAGACATCACCTCATGAACTGGGTGATCTGAGCAGGGGCCACCAAGCTTCGAGATGTGTCTCTGATAGACAGGATGAAGGAGCAGAGAACCTGGTCAGGCTTGCTGGCCCACTGTAGTCACTGTCACTATGCAGCCTAAAGCTGGAGTCATTCAAAACCAGCCCTGGCAGCATGAAGACCCATGCAGGGAACCTTTAGTTTTGTTTGGTTTTGCTAGATAGCCTAGCCTCAATTTCACAATGATCCTGAGTATGAGGATTATAGGTATCAGTACCACACCCAGTTTAGGGAGCCTCTTTGTTCCCTTCCTTCCTTCCTTCCTTCCTTCCTTCCTTCCTTCCTTCCTTCCT